CCCGACATCCCCTCGGAGGCCCGGATTGGGCCGGGGCGGGACAGGGCTGGGCTTGCTCGGCCCTGAATGAGCCCAGCCGTGTGGCCGGGAGGAGACGGGGCAGCCAGCGAGACCTCTGACTCCTGGGGAGAAGCAGGGGTTCTCACTCTCACACCCGCCTCCTCCCCACACAGCCAGGACCCCAGCGGCTTCATTCTGGGGGCCCCTGTGCTCCCCCCTCCTCTGCCAGGCCGTCTGCTCTGCCTCCGCCTGACTCTGCGGACCCAGGTCCTGCAAGGAGGCTCTTCCCGCAGGGCCCACTCTGGAGCGGGGCCCACAGGGGCCTGTCGGACAAGCTCCCGGTGATGTGGGCGCCTGAGGGTTTTTTTCCTTCTTGTTCTTTTAAAAATATTTTTATTGATTTCAGAGAGGAAGGGAGAGGAACAGATAAAAACATCAATGATGAGAGAATCATTGATCAGCTGCCTCCTGGACGCCCCCCCACTCCCCCGCCCCACTGGGATTGAGCCACACCCTGGGCTTGTGCCCTCACTGGGAATCGAACCGTGACCTCCTGGTTCATGGATCGATGCTCAACCACTGAGCCACGCTGGCCGGGCGCACCCTGGATCACACCTGGGTGTTGAAGCTGAACCACCTCACAGGATCCGTGACCCGGGCCTGGCCTGTCTTTCTAACCCTGGACTAGGACAGGGATAAAGCAAAGCATGATGGGAAACACCAGCACCCTCTTATCCCTGAGACAGCGACGCTTTGCGTGGGCTCCGTGTGTGCTCATAAGGTGAAGTGCTATCCAGACGGGACATTATTCCTCATGTGGGGACGGCTGTTTCCTCCAGCTCCGGGGCCTGGGAATGGCCTGGGAAGCTGGGAGATGGAGACCCGGCCTGCCTGTTCCCCGCGCTCTGGTTACGGGGGACCCCGGAGTTGGAGAAGCATCACCCAGGACACAGTGTAGACCCTGTCCCACCACATTGAGAGTTTGACTTTTCATCGTTTAACCAGTTCTACGTCTAAGCGATTTCCAAATAGATTTTCCCTCCTCCCCTCCTTTTTAAAATATATTTTTACTGATTTCAGGGAGGAAGGGAGAGGGAGATAGAAACATCAATGATGAGAGAGAATCATTGATCAGCTGCCTCCAGCACGCCCCCGACTGGGGATCGAGCCCGCAACCCAGGCATGTGCCCTTGACCAGAACCGAACCCGCCACCCTTCAGTCCGCAGGCTGACGCTCTAGCCACTGAGCCAAACCGGCCAGGGCCCTTTTCCTCCTTTTTTAGTAGTTTACATTAACCAGTTTGCTTTTTACCCACAGCCTTTGAGCACTCCTGTTGCTAATCACTCCCGAGCCACGTTCCTGCTGGGAATCGCTGTCCTCGCCAGGATGTCAAGGGCTGCTGGGCACCTGTCCATGGAGATGAAGTGGAGCCGTCTTCCTGTTTCTCTTTTCTTCACTGTCAGCTGGCAAGGAGGGACGCATTCCCGCGCTGCCCTTGCTGAGTGAGCGCTGCTGGTGAGGGACGAAGGGTCCCGGCTCCCCGTGATTCCACCGGGAAATGGAGCTGCCTGACTTAGGGCTGAGCCGCAGCAGCTGTGCCCGGGCCCGGAGGCAGGGCTGCTGGGAGCCTGAGCTTCTCTTACCTGCTAACATAAAAGCAAGCATCACCCAACATTCTCGTTGGAACAACACTTATCTGTCAGTTGGGGGCAAGCATAGGTTGGCTATAAATACACAAGTTTGGCAAAAATCAATGAGAGCTTTCTAAGGGAATCAATGGTCTATGTATATACATATTTATATACATACTAGTGGCCTGGTGCACAAATTTGTGCACATTGAAAGGAAATTAATTAGAAGAAATATTTTAATATCACTATTCGCCCTTTTTCTATAACAGAAGTGTCAACCAAATTCACAATCGACAAGGACAGATGGAAACACGTGTGCAATTGGCACCAGCAAGAGCTTTATATGTATCATGCATGCGCTAGTCAACTTAGCCTTTTATAGATATAGAATGAACTTGCTTAGTTAGACCTGCTTTCTGATTTAGCTAAACTTTTTCCAGCTCAGTGAAACACCCCAACTTCTCTTTCAGGTAATTGTCAGCAACACAGCATTAAATATCAACATGAAGCAGATTATTATTGTAGATCACGCAGGGAGAACAAAGGGTAAAATATTTAACTGCAGCAGTCTTTGACTCTATTCTGCGCAGTGAGAAAACTTGAAGTCATTTTCAAGGTCCACCATTTCTTCTTTTCAGTCGGATCAAGTTTCTAGGCATTCTAAATCTCCATTTTCCGGCTAATGAAAAGAAAATGGGGTTCCACCGAGTCTCCAATCTACCTACTCCAGGACTTCTGTGAGCATCAAATGAGAACACTTCACGGACATTTGGTTAAAGTGTAAAATGTTTGCACCTGGCTATGAAGCAAGTCGTGTTCCTGGGCTGAAGAAACTCCCAGGAGGCTAGTTGCTAGGGAGAGGAAGCCAGGCGTTGCTATGTGATGTAATTACCTGGTGCCGACAGCCACCGTTTCTAGGCTGGGCAGGGCTGTGGGCTGCATTTTGTGCCAGGGGGTCTTGGCAGCATTGGCTGCAATTTGGTGGCTGTCACTCCAGGGAGGAGGTGGGGCCTGTGTCCCACCTGGGGGAAGCTGAGTGTTGCTTGTGGGCGCCAGGTTTGTGGTACCATTTATCTGTAAATGGCCAGTGCGCCTCATGGCAGCTCCTGCGCTGAGTGTCTGCCCCCGGTGGTCAGTGCCCATCATAGTGACCGGACGGACGGACACCTAGCATATTAGCCTTTTATATATATACTAG